ATTATATCAAGGATAATTTTTACATTTAATTATATTGCTGCTATTACTGCTTAGATAAGAAGCATCAAATTTGTATCTCATTAGATGAAAATGTTTCTATTTGATGTAGTATAACTTGGCAAAAAATACTTTTCCAAATTAAATCCGGCTTCTTTAGAGCATTTTTAAATCAATGTAGGAGATAGATATTAGTTATCAATATCTAAAAATCAGCATATTCCATCATAAGACGGGAATTTTTTTCAATTATGCTAATGCTAATGGAATATTTGTTCCACTGTTCGTAAGCATATTTTTAATAGCCTGTATAACGTGATGTAAGCTGAATAAAAATAAGTTAGAATAATAAAATAGCGCAAATAAATTATAAAAAATAAAAATTTCCAGGGAGGTGTCAAAATCTTGTTTTGTCTGGTTAGGTTATCTCAATAAACTTTTCGTAAAAAAACATAATAATATAATCATTAATTTTTTAAATTAAGATTAAATTTAAATGTTTATAAAAGACTTTACTAAGCATTAATATTCTTTTTTTGTTAATATTAGTTGTGGTTCTACTATGCCTCCCATTTCAATGAGTCCTTCTCTCGTTTAATGATGCTTCCCCACGCCGCCAATCTTTCCAGTCAGGGACATGATGGAAAGCTCTTTGAAAAACAGAATTTTCTCCCAAACCTCGACGCAAGGCGAATTCGAAAAGCAATATTCAGGAGAACAATCGATTACAATGCTCCGATGCTGAATTACCTAACAGATAGGGTTTGGATGAAAACTTGTTATGATAGGCCTCATGTCCAGCCTGACTACGCATACGGCCACAAAGTATGACTTAAACATATAAATAATTTTAACAGTTATATCCGTTGAGTGAGTGCATAGACAGCCCGATGAGCTGTGTAATGTCCAAGCCGGTCAGAACTTCGATGAACAAAATAAAGTGCCCTATTTACTGTGTTTGTGTAGGTTTTGTTTTTATAACTTGAGCGATTAGTGGACTCCCGAAGGGCGACGCCTGATCACTGGAGCTTACAGTGGAGAATTTACGCTGTGGAATGGACTCACATTTAATTTCGAAACGATCTTGCAGGTTACATATTTAATAATTCTTCTTTCCATGCTTTAAAATTACAGTATTCCCGTTTAATTTTTTTGATTACTTTCTTTGTCTAGGCGCATGAGTCCCAAATTCGGTGCATGAAATGGTCACATAATGAGGAGTGGCTACTAACGGCTGATCATTCAGGATTTATCAAATATTGGCAAGCCAACATGAACAATGTGGAGGTGTATCAGGCACACAAGGAACCTATTCGTGGCGTCAGGTACTGTTATGTTTCAAGTTCAACTGTGATTTACAAGAGAACCAACTTATTTCCGCTTCGGATACATCTGCGAACTAACATGCCATTCTATTTATGCTTTATTGTATCTGATTGTTATATTTTGTTCAATACACCCCAAAGTAGCGCCAGAGATAACTGCCTTGTCTGTTATTGCTCGCTGTGGGTCACTGGAGATATATTTTTTCGCAATTATGTCAGTTCAAAGTTTAATGTAATTACATCAATTTGGCTAGCTATCGAAAGTTAACGCAGTCTTTTCGTGGGATAACTTGTGAATTAAAATTCGTTCTTGTCTGTTTCTTTTGGTTTATTCGATTCCTTTTTTTGCCTAATTTGGTCTGATCAGCCGCTTAAAATCTCCGTTTGCCCCAAAACGGTTAACATTGCGCCTATGCGAAATATTGTTAGCTTTGATCATGGTTTTCTTAGACCATAAATGCTCCGGGTTGGAATCGTTTGACTAAAGTGGATCTAGGGTGGTCCCTAGTAGTGTTTCGAAGCCTCAAGAATGCTTTCGTGTTGTCATCCTTCGCAGAATATAGATAGGTGGTTGGTATTTCATATTATTTATGTTCAGTTGATCTGA